GGATCCACAATCAATGCCCATGGAAGCATCAGTCGAAAAATCAAACAATGTATTGCACTGGGCAAATCTGCTGCAAAAGACCTCTTTAAAGTGTTCAAAAGCAAAGATGTCACTTTGAGGACTAAGGTGGGCCTGACTCAAGCCATAATATTTTCAATCACTTCATATGTATGCGAAAGCTGGACCATGAATAAGGAAGACCAAAAAGAATTGATGCCTTTGAATTACAGTGTTGGCAAAGAATATTGACTGCCAGGGGAACAAATCTGTCTTGGAAGAAGTACATCCAGAATACCCCTTAGAAGCTAGGATGGCAAAACGTTGTCACACGTGCTTTGGACATGTTATCAGGAGGGACCAGTCCCTGGAGAAGGACATCATGCTTAGTAAAGTACAGGGTCAACAAAAGAGGGGAAGACCTTCAATGAGATGAATTCACACAGTGGCTGCAACAATGGGCTCAAACACAGCAATCTGATTGTATTATGTGAGGATGGTGCAGGACCAGGCAGTGTTTCGTTCTGTTGTGAATAGGGTCGCTATGAGTCAGAATTGACTCAACAACACCTAACAGTTGGAAAACACCCAATTGCAAACCGGAGAGACCATATGAAAATGTCTTAACCATCAGGTCACATATCTAGAAAAACTTAAGATATTTAAAACAAGAGGATGTTTTACTTAATTCAGAAAAAAACAAAAACAAAGTTAACCCACACGCAGTTACTGCAATCATTCCCCATCAGTGTAATCTTCTGCTTACATCTACCTGTGCCTGAAAGTCTGTGAGCAACTTGAGAGTAGAAACCCTGCTTATTAATTTTTTTTTTAATCCCAAACACCTGGCACACGGCAGGTCTTCATGTTTGTTAATTGGTTTTTAAGATGCAATAACTTATATGATACATCACTGATTTAATAAAAGCTTTACATGGGCACTACATGTATAAACAACTAGTATAAAACACATCCTGATTTCAGAAAGGTTAAAATTTTAAAATTGTGCCTTAGAATGGAGGAAATCCTGTAGTTGTCTTGTTCTGCATTTCTTGCCTGAAAAATAGAGTGGATTCTTCCCTCATTATCTCAGCAGATAAACATTCATTAGTACTGGTGATATTGACTCAAATCATCCTCTCTTCCTAAGTTTCTTTTTCTGAGGCCATTGATAACCTCCAAATATTTGTATGTTATTGTTTCCCTTGAATTAAACCCTGCTCTGCAAAATTCTTCACGGGCTTCAGTAGACTTCTATTGTCTCGAGGGACTTAACTCTAATGATCCCTTTCTCTCTCGGTGGCTCCCATTTATATTGCCCTCAGAGTGCCCCTCCTTTCCTCAGTCATCACCAGGTGTTTGCAAGCCTGGCTGTACATCAGAATCACTTGGAGAGCTTATGAAAAATGAACAAGCCCAGGTCCCAACCCAGACCAATGGAATCCAAATCTCTGGAGTCAGTCAACTTGGACTGAAACTTTAGCTCTATGACTATGGGTCATATCACTTAAGCTCTAAAATTCAATGTCTTTACCTGTAAAATTAGGATAATGTTAAATATCTGCTTCATCACATGTGTTTACTCCCCATCATTACAGCAAATATCATCTCTTCTTTTCTTCGTTTATTTAAGGCCTACACCTCTCCATGAAATCTTCCCCCTGCCTCAGCCCTCCATAATCACAATTTATTTTGATTTGTTTGCAAAACACATTGGAACTCAGTGATAGGTTTGTAAAACCAAAACAGTCTCCTAGCTGATCTTTCTGCAACTACTCTTGTCACCTTTCAATTCATTCTCCAAACAGTATGCCAACTTTCCAGAGTGCTCTTTAAAAAAAATCTGATTATGTTGCTTCCTATTTTAAACCTTGCACTGAATTCTCTTCATTCTTAGATTAAAATCCAAATTCTCTAACCTGGCCCACTTGCTGGTCTCCCTGTTGCTCTTTAGAGTCTAACCACACTGGTATCTAATTTGATACACTCTTTCTCACCTCAGTGCCTTTGCTCATGCTGATGAACGATATTGTACTCATCTTTTTGGTGTCAGCTTAATCACTTCTTTGGTGAACCCTTCCCTGGCTTCAGTCTAGGTCAGTGCCCCTAGTTAGATCCTCTCTTAAGATACTATAAATACCCTTTTGTAATTAAGTGTTTAATCATGAACTGGATGGAACTGGGCAGTGTCTTAGGCTGGGTTCTCTAGAGAAGCAAAACCAGTAACGTGTATAAATATATATAGAGAGAGATTTCTGTTGAGGAAACAGCTCACATGATTGTAGAGGCTAGAATGTACCAGTCCATGGATCGGGGTAGAGGCCTCTCACGCAGCTGCAGAAGATGGTGAGCCCAAGATCGGCAGGTCGGAGAGCAGGGCTCCCTCTTACAGGCTGTGAAGGTTGATGAATTCCAAGATCAGCAGGCAAGACAGCAAGGTTTCTCCTGATTCACATAGCTGCAGGGGCTGGCGAACCCAAGATTGGCAGGTCAGAGAGCAGGGCTCTGCTCACAGGCTGTGAAGACTGATGAATCCCAAGTTTGGCAGATAAGCTGACAGCTCAAGTCCCAAGAACCAGAGGTGAGATGACAGGAGGCAGCCACAGGATCCAGAGTGAGCAAAATGCCAGAACATCTGCATATATTCAGATGCAGGCCACAGCCCCAAGGAAACTCCCTTTCATCTGATTGGCTACTCACAGTATATTCAGTCATGGGATTGATCACATATAAACACTGAGAATCATGGCCCAGCCAAGCTGACACACAATCTTAACCATCACAGGCAGGATATTAAATTTTTCTTAATATAACTTTATATTGTTTGATTTGTTACCACAAATCAAAAGCATGAAAAGCATTAGACTATTTTTCAAATGCTATATAGCCAGTTGTTTAATGCCTTTGTCCTCCCCTAGAATACAGGTTCCAGAAGGGCAGATACTGAGCCTGTCTTGTTCACCACTGTGTCCACAGAATCTAACAGTGCCTTCAACCTATGAGGTGCTGAACAAATGTAAATGAATACTGCTAACAGGACAGAACATGAAAACTGGTTAGAAAGGCTACTCAGTGACCTTACTGGAGACCTTGTCTGAGAAAGAGATAGCCATCTGTCCAAATTAGAGAGCACAAAGGTGGGACACACCTGGGCCTGTCCAGGTCGTCCTCTTATCCAAGGGCATCTTGCCAGCCCCAGAGTGGGGCAGGAAGGCTTTGAAGCAGTGGAGGTGCTTAGAGTCTTAAGAGGAAGGCAACGTTCAGATTATTTGTGTCTGACTAGTTAAAATAAGATCTGAGCCAGAGTCTACAGGTCCATGGGGTCATGAATACATTTTTTTTTTTAATTTTAAACTTTTCTAGTTATAATTGTCTTCATCATTTATTTGACTTGTGACTGATGCAAATTGATTTTATTTTTCTTTATATGGTGGTGTTGTTAGTTGCTGTCGAGTCAATTCTGACTCATGGCGACCCCACGTGTGCAGAGTAGAACTGCTCCATAGGATTGTCAAAGCTGTGACCTTTCGGAAGCAGATTGCCAGGCCTGTCTTCTGAGGTGCCTTTGGGTGGATTTGAACCGCCAACCTTTTGGCTAGTAGTTGAGTGCTTAGCTGCTTGTGCCACCCAGGGACTCGTTTTTTATGTATACATATGCCCAGTTTCCCAATTGAATCCATAATTTCCTAAGTACGAGGTCTTTTTTCATAAATGTTTTGCATCCACATGACCTGGCACAATACGTAGCCTATTCCCTAGAAATGAATGTAGTCAATGTTCTTTAACCAGGAAAAATGTTCAACGCTTCAATATTTCTCAGCGGCTTTCTAATGAGTTTTTTTTGTTTGTTTGTTTAAATAAATGCAGCAAATTTTATTATGTATATCAACAATGTTTGTTGAAATTTCATTGATTTTCAATAGTCTTTAATGTTTTCCTTTGCTAGGAAATAATTGATACGGCATTTGCAGATAGATGCCTCTGCAAGAAAGATTAATTCCTGCACTGGGGCAAAGTTATTTGAACAAATGAAGTGGAATATTTTAATGAGAACATATGCTTTTCAAGCAATAAAGTGTAACTATTTCTCTATGGCTTTAAAAATGGGATCTAATTCACAGGTTACAGGAATTGTCCAATAAGATCGTTTGTTTTCCTGGACTTGCGTTGTAGTAACTACTAATCTTTTAACATGGCGTTTACTTGTAGCTATTTGAGGTGGTTTATGTTGTTGCCTATATAGTAGAACAAGGCTAAAATCCAATAATTTTACACACGCAAATAGCTGTATCCTTCAACAATTAAAAATGAGGTGAAGTAGGCTTCAGAAGTCTTCACCTCCAAAAATCTAAGGATAATAAAGACAATATTGAATCTGCAGTCTTGTAAGAGCAATGCTGATTGACCCTTTCTCTCTTAGGAATCTGAATTACACATTGCATCTAGATGACAAGCCTCGTTTCTGCTCTTTTCCCAGTAATTTAACATATCTGGAGCTAGACACGTTTAATGTCGTTTAGGGGCTGCCTTAAATAGCATGAATTCAAGCCATTATGTGACTTCAGTAGGATTACGCTTATTAACCCAAATTACCCGTTATGATGGTTTCTAAGCCAACCACGTGAAATCAGTTTATTTTTTACAAAAAAAAAAAAAAATTTTGTATTGTTTTTTCCAAAGAGAATTATTTATCCAGTTAAAGCTAATCCACTCATCTAGTTGCTATTCTTAATAGATACAGGCTCGGTTCTCTTTTTCTCCATCACATTCTGTTTCTTGCTCTAACAGTACTTGCGTTACATCTCCCCCCTCCCCATGGTGAAAATTCATTAAGTATTTATTAAGGATAAAAATACATACTTTTACCAAGAACAAAAAAAAACCCTACATGAAATAAAAGAAATAAAGTGGTGCTATACTTCAAAGTTACAAATATAATTAACCCTGTTACTAATTTAGGAAGGAGACATTAATTGATTTAAAATATATTAATATGTGCTTACCATGGACTCTGGTATCTGTGGGTTAATTGATCAATAGCAGCGTGACTTATTTCTCCATACTGTAAAAGAAAGAAAATGAATGTACCATAATTCCAAGGTAAATAGGCAACAACATGTCTAAGGATCTACATTCCTAGTCAAAAAGGAATTCAGGTTGGGGAATTAGATAGGAAATGCTAAATTCAGTTAAAGGAAAATAAGGGAAGAAGATGGCCTTTTGAGTCCTGAACTGACAAAAGAGTACAAGAAGTAAAATAAATATGTCTCTATGTGCTTTACTTTCCCTGTTTCTAAAAGGGGTGTCAAGTAGCAAGGAGAATATAGTCTAAACTCCTTTCTATCTTGGTGATTCTATGTCTATATAAGCAGGCATTTTACACAACTGTTTATCATTTAGACTCAAATATTTTAGCTCTTTTCACTTTACCTTCTCCTCACAGAATTAGAAAACGTGGTGGGGCAATAAGACGGAAAAGGACCTGGGTTATAGACAGACGGTGGGGAAGTGTGCATCTGAAAACTCCTTTCAAATAATTTGGGGGTGCTGATAAAGTATTAAGTGACTTAGAGCCAGTTTCCACATTAAAAAATAATTTCCACACACCCCCTCCATGTGCATTGAAATGATCTATTCTTATCGAATGAATCATCTTTGCATCCTCTCTTCGTTATCTAGAGATATACCATGACTGGGTGGCTTTAACAAACAAATTTATTTTCTCACAGTTTAGGGGGCTAGAAGTCCAAATTCAGAGTACTAGCTCTAGGGGAAGACTTTTTCTCTCTGTCGGCTCTGGAGAAAGGTCCTTGCCTTTGAGCTTTTGCTCGTCAGCAGTCTTCATGTGGCTTGGCATCTCTCTTCCCCATCTCAGCTTGCTACCTTGCATTTAATCTCTTTTATATCTCAAAAGAGATTGACTCAAAACACACCCTACATTAATCCTGCCTCATTTACATAACAAAGACAACCCATTCCCAAATGGGATTATAACCACAGGGCATAGAGGTTAGGATTTACAACACATATTTTTGGGGGACACAATTCATTCCGTAACACATCCTAACTCCTTTTCCCCAGGAACATCCAATGAATGGCACATGTGTGAATAAGCATGGGGAAGAGGAGTGTCAAATTCATACCGGAAAGGATTTTTGTTTACAATAATTTCTCAATTTTCAATACCAGGATTTAGAAACAATGTCATGGATTATCAGAAAGTATTTCACTTCATTTTTTTTTTTTTTTTTTTTTACTGGATGCTGTATTCAAAACATCTCAAAAAGTAGTAAAACCATATTACGATGATTTCAACATCACAGGAATTGCCTAGTACTCTTTTTATTATTTTGTTTTTTTGCTTTAATTTTTTAAAATCGTGATAAATATATATCTAACAAAACATTTGCCATTTCACTAATCTGCCAGCCATACGAGTGAGCCATTTTGGAAGCAAACCTTCCAGTCCCAGTCAAGCCTTCAGATGAGTGTTGCCCCAGCCAAGAGCTTGACTGCAACTTCCTGACAGACTCCAAGCCAGAACCACCCAACTAAACCACTCTTAACTCTCGCTCCACTTTGAGATAGTAAATGATTATTGTTGTTTTAAAAAAAACTGCCATTTGAACATTCTTCACATGTACAATCAGTGACATTAATTATGTTCGTCATGTTGTTCAATCATCACCATTGTTGGAGTCCAAGTTTTTCTATCACCCTTAACGAAAGACTCTGAGTGTCCCCTAAGTAATGAGTCCCCCTTTCTCCATCCTTCTTGCCAACTGATGATAACCACTGATAAACTTTGGTCACTGTACACTTGCCTATTCTAGATATTCCATATAAGTGGGATCATAAATATTTGTCTTTTATTGATTGATTTAACCTAGTACTTTTTAATTATCATACCTTTCTTCTTCCCTTTCCGTCAAGCTTTGGTTTAGAATTTTCTGGTTGGCTCCTTTGGAGTTATTTGTGATGGGAAAACAGATTCATTTGCTTATGTTGTCCTCTCAGGGATAAAGACCTGACCCCTTGATCACTTCTAGCTCTTTAACGTCCACATATAAAATAAGTAAACAAAGGAAGGGGCAAGATAAATGAGGATTTAAAGCAGGGTTGCGCCTCTATTTCATCACAAACTGAAAAGTATTCATCTGTGCATAATGGAAAGATCATGGTATAGTTTTGATTTTTTAACTGTGATTCCCTAAAAATTGACCTTAGCCATTGATTAATAAAAAAATTTGATTATCAACTTCTGGACAAATTTTCCAGGATATGGATGATCTTCTACCATTCTCTATTTTAATAACCAAAAATTGTATCTTCTTAATCTGGAAAGACTTTTCTGAGAAGCAAAATAACACTTTTTAAATAAAATTTTTACATTTCTTTTATAGATATAAGTGTATAATGTCATAAAAATGTTATCTAAAATAAACTAGCCCTTATCTTAATTTATTAATGAAATCTATCAGGATTTATTTGGACAGACATGCTCAGTGTAGTGTTAAATCTAATGAAATTCAGAATCAAAAAATCATTTTTCTGTAGGTTAGATATTTGTAAGAGTAAGAAGAAGACTGATTCAAAAAACAATTCATCTTCAGAAAAACAGGTAACAACTGATTAGCATATTCTCTATCCTAAGGAAATCAGTGAGAATCTTTTACACATTTTTCAACTGACAAAAATGATCCTAACTCCAAATTGGGTATTCCCTACAAAGCAATCTGTAAGTAAGTCTGGTTGAGTGTCGTCAAGTTGATTCCGACTCATAGTGATCTTTATGACAGAGTAGAATGGCCCATAGGGTTTCTGGGTCTGTAATCTTTACAGAAGCAGATTGCCAGGTTGTTTGCATTGCAGAGTCGCTGGTGGGTTTAGTCCGCCAATATTTCGGTTAGCAACTGTCATGGATTGAATTACATCCCCCCTAAAATGATCAGTTTGGCCAGACCATGATTCCCAGTATTGTGTCGTTGTCCTCCATTTTGTGATTGTAATTTTATGTTAAAGAGGATTAGGGTGGGATTGTAACACCCTTTCTAAGGTCAAAACCTGATCCAATGTAAAGGGAGTTTCCCTGGCGTGTGGCTTCCACCACCTTTTATCTTACAAGAGATAAAAGGAAAGGGAAGCAAGCAGGAAGGGGGTACCTCATACCACCAAGAAAGCAGTGCCAGGAGCAGAGCGGTCCTTTGGACCCGGGGTCCCTGTGCAGAGAAGCTCCTAGTCCAGGGAGAGATTGATGAGAAGGCCAACAGAGAGAGAAAGACTTCCCTTGGAGCTGACCGCCCTGAATTTGGATTTCTAGCCTACTTTACTGTGAGGAAATAAACTTCTCTGTGTTAAAGCCATCCACCTGTGGTCTTTCTGTTATACCAGTACTAGATGAGTAAGACAGCAACTAAGCACTTAACCATTGCACCACCAGTGCTCCTCATTAAATAAGTCTAGGTATTGAGAAAAGGGAAATGCCTGCTAACTACATTTAGAACTTGTGAGTTAGATACAATTTCTGAAATGAATAATAATTGTTAAATTTAAGTTAATTCAGATATTTGGGGCTCATTCTATTCAAAAATATAAATAATTGAGATTTTCACTTTTAATCTCCAACGACCTCTTGTCTCACGTCCTGGCATAGTTAAGAAATCATTCTGGGGTTGATCACTAAGGAATCCTCTTGCTTTGTTGCTATGCTTGACTTAGGATTTTTTTTAGTATATCCAATTTTGACATTCCTTACTAGAAAGAACTGTTTTCCATCTCTTTAACTACGAGGTCTTTCTCACCAGTAGAATGAATATAATACAAATGTATGTCAAGCGCGCATAGACACTGGGATTTCTCCTCTCCAGCCTCCTCCTTGGTAATGTAGAGCTCTTAGTACAAAAACGTTTGAGTGAAAAATCCCTGAGGGCTACCTTTTCTTATGCTAATTTTCTCCCCCTTCACTTGCTTCAATTTGCAAAATATTACTGTTAACCCCTTAGGTGTCTTTGTTCCCACAGCCAGTGAAAAGCATTCCCATTATTGTAGCTGGATCCCAAAATTGTATAATGTTGCGTATTCTAGACTGGAATGATTGAAGGGAGAAATGGGGCATAAAGGCCTTTGTGTGAATGGAGCATTTAAAGCATTCGTTTTATATTCAGAGTGTGAGTAGAAAGAAAACATTCCTTTCTGGAAAACGTCAGTGTTTAAGGCATGGATTTTGTGATGGAGTTTTCTTGTTAAAAAGCAAAAACGAACAATGTAGAGACCCATATTACATTTTATGTCATGTTATTTATGGGTTTAAGTACCAATGTGAATGATATCTGACTTTTTTTTACTGCATTACCTTTTAAATAATTCAGATTAGTACATCTGCTTTCAACAAATAGACTAAACACTGGGTTTTGTGAGTTTGTTAACTATCTCCTCAGTATCTCTGTTTTCTGTGAAGTATCCAAATAATGCGCAATATGATCCATCACATTTCTTATGAGCTTATTTTATAGTAGTATAATTTAAAAATTCATGCAGGCAGGAAAATAGAGTCTATATAGCCATTAATAATACTAAAAAATACCAAACCCATTGCCATCGAGTTGATTCTGACTCATAGCGACCCTATAGGACAGAGCAGAACTGCCCCATACAGTTTCCAACGAGCGGCTCATAGATTGGAACTGCTGATCTTTTGGTTAGCAGCCGAGCCCTTAATCACTGTGCCACCAGGGCTCCTAGTCCCGACTTATTGAGCTTTGTTGCACTTTGGATATTATGCTAAGTGCTTAATGCACATTAAAACTGGTCAATTCTGACTCATAGCAACCCTATAGGACAGAGTAGAACTGCCTGATAGCGTTCCCTTATCTCACTAAATTCAGTCAACAATAAGATGTTGTTATTATTATCCCTGTGGTAGACAGAATTCTAATATGGTCCTTGAGATTCCTGCCCCCTATTGTACATAGCTACTCCCAGCTATTCAGCCAAACACCAATCCAGGTGTTGCTTTGAAGGGATTTTGCAAATGAAATCATTGTTCCAACTCAATCGGCTAAA